ACCATAGAAGACCATGAGCTCTTCTATGCACCATAGGAGACCATGAGCTCTTCTATGCACCATAGAAGACTATAAGCTCTTCTATGCACCATAGAAGACCATGAGCTCTTCTATGCACCATAGAAGACCATGAGCACTTCTATGCACCATAGAAGACCATGAGCTCTTCTATGCACCATAGAAGACCATGAGCTCTTCTATGCACCATAGAAGACCATGAGCTCTTCTATGCACCATAGAAGACCATGAGCTCTTCTATGCACCATAGAGGACAATGAGGTCTTCTATGCACCATAGAGGACCATGAGCTCAAGGTCTTTTATGTACGATAGGAGACCTCAAGGTCTTCTATATCCGATAAGAGACCTCAAGGTCTTCAATAGTCGATAGGAGACCTCAAGGTCTTCTATAGCCAATGGGAGACCTCAGGGTCTTCTATAGCCAATAGGAGACCTCAAGGTCTTCGATAATCGATATGAGCCCTCAAGGTCTTCTATGGACAATAGGAGACCGCAAGGTCTTCTATGGACAATAGAAGACCACAAGGAATTCTAGATCCGATAGAAGACATTAAGGTCTCTTTAGCCGATAGGTGACCTCAAGGTCTTCTAGATACGAGGGGAGACTACAAGGCCTTCTTAAACCGATAGAAGACCTCAAGGTCTTCTATAGCCGATAGGAGACCTCAAGGCCTTCTATAGCCGATAGGAGACCTCAAGGCCTTCTATAGCCAATAGGTGTCTTCAAGGTTTTCTATAGCTCATAGGAGACCTCAAAGTCTTCTATACCTAATAGGAGACCTCAGGGTTTTCTATAACCGATAGGGGACTTCAAGGTCTCCTAAAGCAAAAAAGGAGACCTCAAGGTCTTCTATACCCGATAGGAGATCTTAAGGTGTTTTTTACTGATAGAAGACCTTATTGTCTTCTAAAGACAAGAGGAGACCTTATATAGACAATAGAAGACCTCAAGCTCATCTATATTGGCAATAGGAGATTTCAAGATCTTCTATAGCCAAAAGGAAACCGTAAGGTCTTCTATAGCCAATAGAAAATCTCAAGGTCTTCCAAAGCCGATAGGAGACTTCAAGGTTTTCTAAAGAGGCCTTAGGGTCTTCTATAGCCAATAGGAGACCTCAAGGTCTTTTATAGACAATAGGAGATCTCAAGATCTTATATAGCAAATAGAAGACATCAAGGTCTCCTATATCCAATAGGAGATCTCAAGGTCCCCTGCAAAGACGATAGGGGACCTCAAGGTCTTCTAAAGCCTCTATAGGAAATTTCAAGGCCTTCTATAGCCAATAGGAAACCTTAAGGTGTTCTATAGCAGATAGGGGACCTTAAGGATAGGAGACCTCCGAGCCTTCTATAGCTAATAGGAGCCCTCAAGGTCTTCTATAGCCGATAGGATATCTCAAGGTTTTCCAAAGACCATAGGAGACATCAAGGTATTCTTTAGTCAATAAGGCACCTTAAGGTCTTCACAATTTCAAAATTCGTTAGTATGGGTTGTATACCATACCCATTGTCATTTTTTTATGATATCAACAATAATATTATGAAATACCCCGAATATTTTCATAATTTATGGAGTAATGAAAACCATATCCAAAATCAGTAAATTATGCCACACTCGATACCGTTAGAGATGACAACGAAGTGGCTCCTCCAAAATTATGTGAATGACACATATATACTAAATTTATTCCATCAGACCAAAATAGATCTATTGTATGGAAATTATTCATATTATGAATACTGAATCGGACATTTCTTTGAGCTGGAATTGTTGACAACACACGTTGGAAAAAATTAAAATTCAAAACGAAAATATTCAAAAGGTATGCTAATAGAGTCGGCAAGAATCTCGACAAAACGCGCTATGAAGACTCTATTAGAATTTGAGAATAAATACCACCCCTTTTCAAATATTTGCCAGAAGACTTAATAAAAAATTACCTCCCCTCGAAGATGTGGTGGAAGGGAGGAAATATTATGAAGAGTAAATAAGAAATCACAGAAAAAATATAAAAAATTTAAATTTTTTAATTCAAATGTTCTAATATGTTTAAGTGTATGTACACCTTCAACGAAGAATGTTTGCTTAACACACCCCGATCCGCCACCCTGTCGGGCATTCAGTCACTACGAGAAGAACATCATTGTGAGTGTTTTTTTTTTTTTTTTGCTTTGTGTTAAAAGTATTTACATAAATTTTATAAACATACAAAGCATAAATTAATGACAATTTCTTGGTTGGTTGGTCGGTTGCTTGGCCAAATATCGGAATTTTAAAGAGCCAAACAAAACAAATCAAACAAACTAGAATAATGAGAAAAACAAACTCAGAACATCATTCATTTTTATAGCTACGAAATGCTTAGACTTGGTGTGAGAATATTTGAGATTTTCTCATGTTTTTGTTTGTTGTTTGTCTTTCACATCATAGAACACACACTCAATTTAGCACTGCATTTAATCCGATTACAAACATTGGTCAGTGTCGGACATGGCCTTTAGATGGTTCGTTGGGAACTTTTGGTATTGTAGGTAAAACAATAAGCAATTATTCTGAAAGAAGTTTGTTTTGAATTTATTTGCAATTCATTGTCCGAAAAAAATATTGCACATAAATATTAGAAATTCTCAAAAAATATTATTCTCTGAATAATTCACTTCCGCCAAAAGAGTTTAAATAATAGCCAAAACCTTACGAAGTGTGGCCACTTTTCTTCGATAGACGACCTTGAGATGTTCTATTGAAAGTCTCCTATCGCCAACAAGAAACCTCAAGGTCTGCTATCGCCAACAGGAGACCTCAAGGTCTCCTATCGCCAATAGGAGACCTCAAGGTCTCCTATCGCCAACAGGAGACCTCAAGATCTCCTATCGCCAACAGGAGACCTCAAGTTTTTCTATCGCCAACAGGAGACCTCAAGGTCTTCTATAGCCAATAGGAGACCTCAAGGTCTTCTATAGCCAGTAGGGGACCTCAAAGTTTTCTGGCCCTGGTGTCTTTTTAGGTCTATATGGGACCTTGAGGTTTTCTGCGGACCATGGGATACTTTGAGATATTGTATTCTTCTAAGTTCTATAAAGGACCATCAGGTCTTCTATAGTCCATATGAGCTCTTGTGTTGTTCTATAGTCCAAAGAAGACCTTGAGGTCTTCTATTGAACATAGAAGACCTTGAGGTCTCTAAGCTCTATAGAAAACCTTAAGGTCTTCTAGGCTGCCTAGAACGTCTTGCATTCTTCTAATTTTCAAAGAAGATTTTGAGGTATTCTAGGCTCTATACAAGAACTTGAGGTCCTCTTAGTTCTATAGAAAACCTTAATGTTTGATTTAAAGCTCCATGAGCGAACCTAAAGTTTTTGAGATATTTTAAGGTCGATGGAAGAACCTTGAGTTCTTTGAAACACCGAAGAAGTCCTCAAAGTCTTCTAAGCCCCGTTGAAGACCTTGAGGTCTTCTAAGTTCCTCTACGTTCCATAGAAGACCTTGACGTCTGTAAACTCCATAGGAGAGCCTAAAGACCTTGAAGTCTTTTAAGATCTTTGAAACACCAAAAAAGTCCTCAAAGTCTCCTAAGCCTCATTAAAGACCTTAAGGTCTTCTAAATGCAAAAGATAACCTTAAGATATTCTAAGCTGCCTAGAACACCTGGAATTATTGTAACTTTCAAAGAAGACCTTGAGGTCTTCTAAGTTTCATAGAAGTATTCTAAGTTCCATAGAAGACCTTGAGATCTTCTAAGCTCCAGGGAAAACCTTAAAGTTCTCTAAGTCCCATATAACACCTTGAGGTCTTCTGGGCTCTATGGAAGACCTTGAGGTCGTCTAAGTTCTATAGATGACCTTGCGTTCCTCTACGTTTAATAGAAGACCTTGTTGTCTTTAAAGCTCCATGGGAGAACCTAAAGACCTTGAGGTCTTTTAAATACCAAAGAAGACCTCAAAGTCTTATAAGCCCAATTAAAGACCTTGAGGTCTTTTAAGTCCCATAGAAGACCTTGTGGCCTTCTTAGCTCCCTTTAGGTTTTCTAAGCTCTATAGAAGACTTTGAAGTCCTGGTCCATAGAAGAACTTGAGTTACACTACGTTCCTGTAGACCTTGGGGTCTTCTAATCACCAAAGAAGACCTGGAGGTTTTCTAAGCTCCATAGAAGACCATAGACGACCTTGAGGTCTCCTAATCTTTATAGAAGACTTGAGGTCTTCTACTTCCCCATAGAAGACAATGAGGTCTCAAAATCTTTATAGAAGACTTGAGGTCTTCTATTTCCCCATAGAAGACCATGAGCGCTTCTATTCCCCCATAGAAGACCATGATCGCTTCTATTCCCCCATAGAAGACCATGAGCGCTTCTATTCCCCCATAGAAGACCATGAGCGCTTCTATTTCCCCATAGAAGACCATGAGCGCTTCTATTTCCCCATAGAAGACCACCAGCGCTTCTATTCCCCCATAGAAGACCATGAGCGCTTCTATTCCCCCATAGAAGACCTTGAGCGCTTCTATTCCCCCATAGAAGACCATGAGCGCTTCTATTCCCCCATAGAAGACCATGAGCGCTTCTATTCCCCCATAGAAGACCTTGAGCTCTTCTATTCCCCCATAGAAGACCTTGAGCTCTTCTATTCCCCCATAGAAGACCTTGAGCTCTTCTATTCCCCCATAGAAGACCTTGAGCTCTTCTATTCCCCCATAGAAGACCTTGAGCTCTTCTATTCCCCCATAGAAGACCTTGAGCTCTTCTATTCCCCCATAGAAGACCTTGAGCTCTTCTATTCCCCCATAGAAGACCATGAGCTCTTCTATTCCCCCATAGAAGACCATGAGCTCTTCTATTCCCCCATAGAAGACCGTGTGCTCTTCTATTCCCCCATAGAAGACCATGAGCTCTTCTATTCCCCCATAGAAGACCATGAGCTCTTCTATACTACACTTGAAATAAATAAAATATTTTTTTTTTTTTTTATTTTTATTATCAGAATTCGTTTATTTAAAGATATTTTGATTTACATTTTGAATTTGTGAATATTTTGCATGGATATGAGAGTATTCTGCTCCTTCGTGTTTTCTTATGTGGGAAAAATTGGGAAATAACACTTATCAAAGTAGAATAAAATATGGATTTAATAATTTTTCTTTTAAATTAGACTAGATAAATATTTTAATTTTTAATTTAAATTCAATCGAAAAAACTACACAACAAGATATTCCAAAAATTGAAATGTAACAGATTATTTATTCAATGATTTTCAATCATTTTTCATTGATATTTTTCTTTGTAATTTTTGAGATGATTTAAAATAAGTTTTCAGTGAGTACTTTTTTTGAAATTGTATTTGTTGGTGTATTTTTCTGATTTTTCTTTTTTTTTGCTGAAATCGTTTCAAGGTTTCGTTAAAGTTTCTTTGTATTTAGGTGATATTTTTTTGTTGTAACATTCGTAGTATTAAAAATAGAAGAACTTTGTTTTCGTTTATCTTGAGTTAGTACACTGAGGAAGAAATGTAATTTTAACTATTTGATATTTTTCCTTCGTCCTTTTTTTTTATTTTTTTTTATTTTTTTGTCCTTAAATTATACACATACATACATTGATATATCGAAAAAAATTTTGTCTTTTTGAAAGTTTTGTAAATTGCTTTTAATAAAATTTGTGTGTTTGTCTTCCGTTGTGGTTTCCACTTTTCGTGATTCTTTTGTAAAGAACCGCGTGGTTTTTTTGTGCAACTGCAATACATCTTCAGATCTTGAACTCTACATTTCCATTGATTTCGTTACTTTGCCAAAGCCTTTTGGCTGGCCGGCAACTTAAGGTTGCGAGGCCATCCTTATACGTGCCGTGGCCCTTGATTTGGTGTGTATTTCGGCCGTCCTTAAGGTAATACCGAATATATCCTCGTGGTAGCGATTTTCATCCTGCGAGGTAGAGAGGAAGGAAAATAGAGAAGAGAATGAGAATTAATTATTTTACAATGAAATAAAAATAAACAAGTAAAACCAGTAAAGAAAGTCTTAAAGTCGGGCGGTGCCGACTTTATGATACCCTACACCACTTTGCTAATTTAGTAGAGCCCCGCATAACAATTAAAAGTTTTTATGGGAGAATTCAATCATACACGCTATGATTATAATTATAATTTAAAGTTCAAATATGCCGAAGCTTTTGTATCTTTTAAATTCGGACTTGTATTATCCATTTAGTGCACAATTAATTTGAAATCGGATAAAGATATATAAGGGAGCTATATTCAAATCTGAATCGATCTCGATAAAGTTTAGCAAAGATATTTCTGAGCTGTATTTCATATAATTTCCTGAATATCGTTGTTACGGAGTGCAAATCGGATGAACGATATATATGGGAGTTATAGCTATATCTGAACCGATCCTCACCAAATTTCACATAATAGCTTCTACACTCAATTCGGTCGTAAGTGCCAATTTTCATCCCATTTGGGCAAATATTAGACGTTTGGTGCACAATTAATTTGAAATTGGATAAAGATATATATGGGAGCTATATCCAAATCCGAACCGATCTCGATAAAATTCGGCAAAGATATATCTGAGCTGTATTTGATATATTTCCCCAAATATTGTTGTTACAGAGTGCATATGACGGCTGCGGAGGACTAAAATAACAAATCGGATGAACAATATATATGGGAGCTATAGCTATATCTGAATCGATCTTCACCAAATTTGACATACTATCTTCTAGGCTCAATTCGGTCGTATGTGCCAAATTCCATCCCATTTGGACAATTATTAGACGTTTGGTGCACAAAAAAAAGTAAATCGGACGAAGTTACATATGGGAGCTATATCCAAATCCCAACCGATCTCAATAAAATTTGGCAAAGATATTTCTGAGCTGTATTTGATATATTTCCCCAAATATTGTTGTTACAGAGTGCATATTATGGCTGCGGAGGACAAAAAAAAAAAAAAAACATATCGGATGAACAATATATACGGGAGCTATAGCTATATCTAAACCGATTTCGATCAAATTTGGCATACTTATTTTCAGGCCTAATTTGGTTGTATGAGCAAAATTCCATACTATTCGGGCTGATATTACACGTTTGGTGCACAATAAAAGGCAAATCGGACGAAGATATATATGGGAGCTATATCTACATTTTTACCGATTATCTACAATTTCAATAGGGTTCGCCCTTGGGCCAAACAAATGATTTGTGCAAAATTTCATCTAGATCGGGTAATAAATGCGAACTGTACTTTGTTCACAAAAATACATGGACAGACGGGCGGACATGCATAAATCGACGCAGAATTTGATTCTATGCAGATCATCAAAGGGAACTGTGGGTCTATCTCGTTTCCTTTTGCCTGTTACAAACAAATGCACAAAGACATAATACCCTGACCATGGAAACATTAGAACCAATTATGACCCACAAATACCAATTTTTAGAAAATACCGAATACCGGGAGGTTCCGCTATACAAAAACGTGGACCTATAAATACGAAGTTTCGCCACACGAACTAGGACCCATTATGACCTACAAATACCAATTTTTGGACAAATCCATGAACAAATGTGGCAAAAATCATCAAAATACCGAATATCGGGAGGTAGCGTTATATGGGGGGCTATATCAAGGCGAGGAGCTATACATACAATGTTTCGCCACACGAACTAGGACCCATTTTAACCTACAAATTCCAATTTTCGGACAAATCCGTGAGAAAATGTGGCAGAAATCATCAAAATACCGAATATCGGAAGGTACCGTTATATGGGGACTATACCAAAACGTGGACTGATATATCTCATTTTCAATACCAACCATTCTAGACACAATACAAATTATTCTGCTAAATTTTGACGCTCTACGTCAAATAATGTGGCCAGTATCGTAATTTCAACAGACAGACAGTCAGGCGGACAGACAGACGGACATAGTTAAATCGACTTAGAATTTTATGCTGATTATGAATATATATACATTATGGGGTCTACGACCAATATTTAGGGATGTTACAAACGGAATGACAACGTTAGTATACCCTCTTTTCCGAGGTGGAGGGTATAAAAAAATAAAAACTTGTCCTTGTTTTATATCTATCCCTAAATTGAACACTTAAAGTGGAAAGAAAAAAAAATTGGCTATCTGAGAAGAAGCCGGATTCCAAAAAATTCTCCTTGAAGCGAAAATAAAATCTTAAACATTTTCTTCCCCTTCCCTGAAATCTCTATCCATTTGTAGATTTTAGGTGTATCCTTTCCGAACCCATGACCTATTCATTGTTGTACTTACAACCCAAGTGCATTGTAAGTGCCGTTACCGAATTTCATTCGAAGAAGTCTTATAAAATATTTATAAAATTGTGTGTGTGTGTGTGTGTGTGTGTATGTTTTTTCTTGCTCCTCTCAACCATGAAGCAAAGCGAAATTTTTATTTAACCTCATACATTTATCATTCTCTTAACCACAAATGCGCTGACTGGTTGGTTTGGTTCGGTTTGTTGAAAGTAAATATGCCGTACACGCATCTCTCTACATGCTACTGCACAAAAGTGTGTCGTTACATAGATACTCGTACAAATATCCTTTGCTAGGAATAGCTTTGCAATTGGCAAGGTTGCCATATTTGAAGTTTTTCCAACGAAAATCTTTGAAAGTTGAAATTGGAGCAGTTAAATATTCCAAATTATATTTCAGAATATGAAACTGTCCAACAAAGAGAGAGAGAGAGGGAGATTTATCCTTTTCGCTATCGAGAGTATAAATCATTTTAAAAATTTAAAACGGGTACTCAACTTGGACCCAACATATATCTTCGGATCATAGATAGGAACATAGTCGAGTTCAAATCCAACAATGTTTTTGCATTGGGTTACTTCTCCAAAAAATGCAAAGCAAAAGAATATCCAAGTAATGAGAACCGACGGCATAGAGTGGGTGTGCGAGTTCGACTAAAAAACTGAAGATTGTGAGTTCGATACTCAGCCTGTTTGGAATATTTTTTAAGATTGAAATCTGAAATATCAAATAACAACGAAACATAGAAATATTAAAAATCAGGAGGTACCGTTGTTAAACTAAGAATCCAAAATATGAAAATACAGTTGATTTTGTTGGAAATCCGGAAGTTGTTGGAATGGCAACCACATACTCTCTGCCTTAGCAGCAACTCAAAAATAATGATAACTTTAAGCGAGACATACGATACGACCAAAAGTTTCAGACCTTTTTCTATTTGAGCGAAATTCGTTTTAGGACATTTAGAGTCGATTAAGCGGTGCCCAAGCTTTCTTCATACTTTTTTAATGAAACTTCTATAGCCAAAAGGAGACCACAAGGTCTACAATATACAAGACCTCAAGGTCTTCTATACATCAAGGTCGTCTGTAGACAATAGGAGACCTCAAGATCTACTATAGACAATAGGAGAGCTGGAGGTCTTCTATAGCCAATAGGAGACCTCAAGGTCTTCTATAGACAATAGGAGATGTCAAAGTCTTCTATATCCTATAGGAGACCTCAAAGTCCTCTATATATATGAGACCTCAAAGTCTAGGAGACCCCAAAGTCTAGGAGACCTCGAAGTCTTCTATAGGCGATAGGAGACCTCGAAGTCTTCTATAGGCGATAGGAGACTTCAAGGTCTTCTATAGCCCATAGGAGACCTCAAAGTCTAGGAGACCTCAAATTCTAGGAGATCTCGAAGTCTTCTATAGGCGATAGGAGACCTCAAGGTCTTCTATAGACAATAGTCTTCTATTGTCTCAAAGTCTTCTATAGCCTATAGGAGACCTCAAAGTCTAGGAGACCTTAAATTCTAGGAGACCTCGAAGTCTTCTATAGGCGATAGGAGACTTCAAGGTCTTCTATAGCCCATAGGAGACCTCAAAGTCTAGGAGACCTCAAATTCTAGGAGATCTCGAAGTCTTCTATAGGCGATAGGAGACCTCAAGGTCTTCTATAGACAATAGTCTTCTATTGTCTCAAAGTCTTCTATAGCCTATAGGAGACCTCAAAGTCTAGGAGACCTTAAATTCTAGGAGACCTCGAAGTATTATATAGGCTATAGGAGACCTCAAAGCCTTCTATAGACAATAAGAGATTCTCTAGGATATATAAGACCTCAAGATCATTTCTAAACAATAGCAGACCTCTAGGTCTTTTATAGACAATTGGAGCCATCAGTCCTATAGGATGCAGAAGACCTCAAGCTCTTCTACAGAAAATAGGGGGCTAATGATCTTCTGTAGACAATAAGAGGCCTTAAAGTTTTCTATAGAAAATTTGGAGATCTAAAGGAGAAGTATGCTCTATAGACAATATGAGAACTCAATGTATCCTATAAGCGACAGGAGACCTCAAGACCTCCTAAAGACAGCAGAAGAATTCCAGGTTAAATTCGGTAGATAGAAGGGCTGTCGGAATTCTCAATCATAATCAAACTTAGATCGCGTTCGGATACCTGTGTCTTGCGGTCTATCTCAAATGGTCTCAGCACAGGGTGAATACAATGCGTCTACCAATGCCACCACAAAAAGTGAGAACCAATTCGCTTGCACGTTATTAAGACGCGGTCGACTCCTTGTTTAGGAGCGAAGCCTTTCTATGGGTCAGGCACCCAATTGATAATGCAACTCCACATTCGAGCAACACACTCTGCCTGCGATTTGGTTTCCAAAAATAAATAATAATAGTAAACAGTTCGGATATTGGCAATATAGGCCCACAATTTTTGGTTTCTTCCGCACAAAAATTAACATTTAAAAAAATGATTTACCTCATAAATAGATATAACCGATTTTGTTCAAACTTTGCAAATCCTAATTATATTTGTGCTGTGGAAGAACATATGATCTGGTGTGTTTATGACATACAGAGGACCTATCGTTCTGGTACTCCCCACAAAGGGTCGAAATGTTGAATAAACATAACGCCCAATGAAATAAGCATCTGATTCTTTTCAAATTTCACACATCTTAATACTTTAAAACACACACAAGGTTACATTATGATTATTCAAAATGTTGAGCATATATGGAGGAGACACCGAAGGATGGGATCAATATTATACATTTTTCATCTGATTTGGGATATATAAACCTTCACTTTATTTGAGACTTGTTCTTATATTTTCCACTTCATCTACTACTGCTAAAAATATTTGATGTGCAAAATTAAAAGATAATCAGACATATATAACCAATTTTTCGGAATAATTGTTGATCATAATTTTAACCTTTTGTGCGGAAGGTGTGAGAAGAAATGAGCCGATATTCCGAAATTCTATATTCACATCTGATATCTAGTTGATAGAAATATTTAGATTTACAAAGTTTGAATAGAATCACTGACTTGTTTCGCAAGTTATGAATGAAATAAGTAGTTAAAACTATGACCCTTTGTGGGGAAGGTACCAGAAGAGTACCTCATTTTCATTTTCAGAAAGTACCTCATTTTCAAAAAAGAACTTGCTTTGGTAAAAATATTGGGATATGTATATCTTAAAGAGAATCGGGAACGTATTACGCATATAATGAGAGATATGAGTATTTAAAATGTTGTCCCGTTTTGGAGGAGATACCAGAGCAGAGGTCCGACATATTCCATATTCACACCTGATCTTGTGTTGATAGAATATTGATACGATATTTTTACATTTTTCTCTTAATTTATCTTTTTATCTATGTTGGTAGCTGTAGAACTCATGGAGTTTGTGGACTAAATAACAATCCCCCAAAAAAAATATCCTCAAACGACACACATCTCTACTCCTATCGCTTGCTCACATAATTTTCACTTCATTTTGTAAATGTATGATTTCATTGTGAAAATAAAGTGCGAACAGTCCTCCTCCATTTTATCATAGAGTCTACTACATTACAAATAAATGTATGTACCCAGTATGCTCCCATAACAATGTTGCATTGTATAACTATTTCTTGGTATTATGTTGTTACAATTCGCCGCTAACAATTCGCTAGACAAGCCATACACTAACAACCAAATCAAGCCACATAAGTGAGTGGTGCATCATCATCATCATGGAGATCATCAGTATCGTCATTATTAAGATTATACTTACACGTAATGTTAGTAAAAATGTCTCAACTTCCGCTTCTGTTTTTTGTTCTTTTCCGGCAATGCACTTCCTACCGTTACGAACGAATGGTGAATGAATGAATAGCAGCAACAACAGCATGGAGCCCAGTATAAAGTGTTGAAGGTAACAAAACACACCAAAGAGATTCCATATCACCAACACACACGAAGAGGATTCCACGGACGCCATACACACACGGTGTAAGGAACACATTGTTGAGTCAAAGTCATGACATGGCACACATCGCATTTGCAGCACAACACAGCAACCACCCACATGGAATATATGGAGCATCCAGCGAGACGAGAAACGCAAATAAAAGAAATGGGAGAAAAGAAATAATGGTGAGTAAAGAGAATTTTTTCAAAAACGTTAATATGTTTATAAGCAATGAAAGGAACAACTCTAAACAAACATACACCCGCACAATACTTTGTGGTGATTTATAGTAATATGCACTGGAAAAAAAATAATAAAAATCAGCGAAGATATCAAGACCTTTTGTTGATAGGAGAGACCTTCAGGACATCTGTAGAGCGAAAAAGGCTTTCAGTCCTTCTATGGCCTAAATAAGACCTACATACCTTCTATGGACCGAAGAAGATCTCTAGGTCTTCTATGGACCCATGAGGACCTCTAGGTGTGCTTTGAATCGGAGCTGACCAAAAAGCCTTCTATGAACCCGAGAAGACTTAAAGGTGTTCTATAGGCAATAGAAGAGCTCCAGGCCATCTATAGGCAATAGAACACCCCCAGGTCATCTATAGGCAATAGAATACCTCCAGGTCATCTATAGGCAATAAAATACCTCCAGGTTATATATAGACAATAGAAACCCTGCAGGTCCGCTATAGACAATAGAGACACTGCAGGTCCGCTATAGACAATAGAAGACCTCCAGGTCCTCTATAGGCAATAGAAAACCTCCAGATCCCCTATAAGCAATAGAATACCCCCAGGTCCTCCATAGGCAATAAAAGACTTCCAGGTTATCTGTAGGCAATAGTAGGCCTCCACGTCAGCTATGGACAATATAAGACCTCCAGGTCCGCTATAGACAATAGAAGACCTCCAGATCCTCCATAGACAAAAGAAGACCACCAGCTCTTCTATGGGCCGATAGAAGACCTTCAGCTCTTCTATGGACTGATAGAAGACCTTCAGCTCTTCTATGGACCGATAGAAGACCTTCAGCTCTTCTATGGACCGATAGAAGACCTTCAGCTCTTCTATGGACCGATAGAAGACCTATAGTACTTTCTTTACTTTCTTTCAGCTCTTCTATGGGCCGATGGAAGACCACCAGCTCTTCTATGGGCCGATAGAAGACCACCAGCTCTTCTATGGGCCGATAGAAGACCACCAGCTCTTCTATGGACCGAAAGAAGACCTTCAGCTCTTCTATCGACCGATAGAAGACCACCAGCTCTTCTATGGGCCAGATTAGACCTCCAATAAAAGACCTCCAGCCCTTTTATGGCAAATAGAAGACGTCCAGCTCTTCTATGGCCAATAGAAGACCTCCAGCTCTTCTATGGCCAATAGAAGACCTCCAGCTCTTCTATGGCCAATAGAAGACCACCAGTTCTTATATGGCCAATAGAAGACCTCCAGCTCTTCTATGGGCGATAGAAGACCTCCAGCTCTTCTATGGGCGATAGAAGACCTCCAGCTCTTCTATGGGCGATAGAAGACCTCCAGCTCTTCTATGGGCGATAGAAGACCTCCAGCTCTTCTATGGACCGTCCAGTCCTTCTCTGACTCTTTTTTCGGGCCTTTTTCAACGTCTTTTGTTTACGAAGGTCCTTTTAAAGCTGTTTTTCGTTTTGTTGCCCCATGTTGTCGTCTTTCCTGTGTACCTGCTTCCATTTATGAAAAGGCAAACTTACGAAGTAATCTTCTTTATTTTATAAATATTAAAAGCAAACAAGAGGCAGACAAGTGGAAAAAAATGCAAATTGTCATCAAGGTTTTTTTGTGCATTGTTCCGTTTAGTTTTTGTTCGTTTTGTTATCTTTTTTGTTTTCGTTCATATTCATCAAAAAAAATAAAAGAAAGGAAAAAATGTGATTAAGTTTTTAATCATTGTCTGTTTCTTCCAAAGACATGAGACTCTTGAGGTGAATAACAGGCATTTTTTGTTTGTGTTCTGCATTCTTAAGGTGAAGGACACTTGCAGATGTTGGAGAGAAAATGACGACTTTAGTTTTTAAGAATTAGTACCAAATTTGGACAGAAAAAATATTAAGGATATGGAAGAGCAAATCAAAAAGATGATCAAAAAAAGAGAGTAATTTGGGTGCAGGCCGTGGAAGCTTAAATTGCTTGAAAGGTCATATAAAGATATCCAACGACTGCATAGAGAAAAAAATTTCGTTTAGAAAATTTAGCTTAGCCTCAATAATATTATCTAGAGGGTGAGATAAAAACTGCAACAAATTCAAACGCAATAGTTTTTACATTCTTTTCAATTTTTTGAATGAAAGCAAAAAATGTCGGAAATAGCATCAACTTTTAGAATAAGTTTAGATTTGTTCGAATTGGTCACCTTTGACACGAATTATGGCCAAAAAAACGGCCAATGAAACCATCACACGCTGCCCGAGTGTTGCTCAGCGGTATTTTGGCCCATTCTCGGCGAAGCGCTTGCTTGAGGTGATCGACATTTTGGTATTTTTTAGTGCCAACCTTGCTTTCCCAAATACTCTAGACACAATAGTCCAAAGGATTGGTATCCGGAGATTTTGGTGGCCATTACGCTGTAAATGAAGCGAGTTTCCTCATTTTGTTACCATTCTTGGGTGGCGAGTGCTAAGTGCGATGGTACTGAGTCCTGCTGGAATGTCCAAGGTCTGCGGCCAAAATGTTTGCTGCCCAAGCCTTTAATACACCCTCCAGAATATTTTCGCGATAATATTCGCAATTTATTTTGATGCCACGATCGATAATACTAGCGGAGAAAGACCATCGGCCGTTATGGCGGCCCACACCATCACCATAGGCGCTTGAGTTCTGGTGGCCAACCGAAAATGCACATTTTCAGCTGATCTCTTTGGCAAGTAAACACGAGCGGATCATTTTGTTTGTTTAAAAACTGCTGGACAACGAATGTTTTCTCATCGGAGAAAACCAATTTTTATAGTTCACCACCTTCGGCCAAGTGAAGCAACTCTTTAGCCCTTTGGAGTCTATTTTCTTTCTGTTGCGGGGTAAGTTCTTGCACTTTTTATACCCTCCACCATACTATGGAGGGTATATTAACTTTGTCATTCCGTTTGTAACTCCTCGAAGTATATATATTTTTCATCAGAGTAAAATTCTAAGTCGATTTAGCCAGGTCCGTCTGTCTATTTGTCCCTCTGTCTGTCTGTTGTAATCACACTATCTTTCGAATGAATTGAGATAGAAGGCTAAAATTTTGCACACATGTTTATTTTTCCAGTAGGCAGGTTAAGTTCGTAAATGGACCATGTAGGTGCACGTCTTCGTATAGCCCCCATATAACGGTACCTCCCGATATTCGGTATTTTGATGATTTTAGCGACATTATTCACCGGAATTGTTTCAAATTTGGTATTTAAGATTCGTAATGGATACTACAGCCTATGACAGAAAATTGTCTGTGCAGGTCCACGTCTTCGTATAGCCTCCATATAACCGTACCTCCAAAAATTTGGTATTTTGATGATTTTAGCGTCATTATTGACCGGAATTGTTTCAAATTACGTATATAGAGTTCGTAATGGGAACTACATTCTATGACAGAAAAATGTCTATGCAGGTCCTGGTCTTCGTATAGGCCCCATATACCAGTACCTCCCTATATTCGGTATTTTGACGAGTTTAGGTGCAATACCCACCGAAATTGTTTGAGATATCGTATTTGACGTTAGTAATGGATGCTATAGCCTGTGACAGAAAATTGTCTATGCTGGTCCAGGTCTTCGCACAGCTCCGATACAACGGTACCTCCCTATATACGATATTTTGATGATTTTAGCTACATTATTCACCGTTTATTTCAAGTTTCGAATTTGAATATGGTAATGGCTATTGGCAAACAATGCCTATGTAGGTCCACGTCGTATAGACCCCAATATAACGGCTATATTCGGTATTTTTAAAATTTAACAGAATTTTTTAAGGATTTTTTTTTTTTTTTTTTTAAACTTCCAAATTCGTTTCAAATGGTGGAGGGTATTCAAAGTTCTGCCCGGCCGAACTTACAGCTTTTTAACTTGTTTAAAATTTAAATGGCTTTACCACGAGCTCATTTTTCAAAATTTGCCGAACGGAATATTGCGATATATATTTAGCTCACGAGACATTTTTGGCCACTGTGACGCGAGTTTCGATCAAGTTGCTTCTTTACCCTTTCTTGACGTCGGGCTACGCTACCAGTATTACGGTAAGGAGCGATGGTACGAGACACAAGAGATTTATTCACATTTAAATGCTGGAGTGCTCTTACGGCAGCAACTTGTGGTTTTCCAGCCAAATAAAAAGAATTCACACTATCACGCTTCAATTCCATCACGAATAACTTTTTTTCTGGAAATTTCTCACCAAAATGCTTTTGTACGCTTGTAAACAATATAAACGGACGAGTGGCTTAGAAATTAAAGCAGTTTTTTATCTCTCCCTGTATACGAATTTCGCTGTGTTAAATCTAATGACTGCATAGAGAACCAATGCCACACCTTTCCTTTAACCAATTTTCATTTAGAAAATATAACTTAGCCTTAATAACATTACCTCCTCTCTCCTTGCTTCCTTCCATTATTTTAAAACAATTTCCTTTAAAATTTTGCTTCAACACATGAATCCTCTTGAATTTTGATATTTTGCTCTTTTGATTTAAATCAAAGCTCAATTCAGATATTACCAAATATTTTCCGAAATTTTTCTTAAATCCAATTTACCTCAAAAATCCTTTCTCCCATTGACTTAATTAATTTTCTTTTCTGACCACTTAAACATTGAGTGCAACAGCAGAAGATTCCTTTTTTGCTCCTCTCCTGTCTGGGCAAAATATTTGGTAAGCCAATA